TATATCTCTCAAGTTAATTACTAGTTTGCTTTTGCCTTTTGAATGGAAAACAACTCTTTAAATATAGTATCAATTATCAATCTTAACAATTATGTCTCCAAGATCATCATACACCGCATGTTTAATAAACCAAAATACATGGATCACAGAAATCGAGCAGTGGAATCAAAGAAAGCTGTGTTCGCAAGTGGCGATCAAAAAGACAAAAGTTTATTTTCCATCTTTTTTTCCTCAAAAACGTTCCTAAAACTCGGGGTGCGGCTTATCTAGGAGAGCGGCTTATACATGGGTAAATACGATAATTGGATCCTAGCAAGCTTTGGGTAACATACCATTTTCAAAGTGTTTCCAGTGATATGAATACAATCTGTCAAATAAATCCTACAATAAAACAAAGTTAAAWGTTATTCTACATGCAGTGAATTTCATTATTTTTTTCTAAAAATGTGGCACTCCCCAGCAAGAAAATGTACATTGCCATGACAGTGATGTATTCTTGATATTAAGTMATTTTCATTTGGTAGTGTCATTTGTCATCATCACCAGTGTGGGTTGGTTGACATTACTGTGTTGTCATAGTGATCTGTACCTTTGCAGAGTCATAATTATAAAATTTGTTCTAACATAGTGTGGTTAATAAAGGAGCACAGAAACATTTTTGAGCTAGAGATAAGAATCAAACCCATGATCCTCTAATTCCAAGTCTAGTACCGTAAAAACTCTGATTGTGATAGTAATAATATATTTCGATTGTTCTATAAATTATCAATGTGTTTTTATGGGACTGTGCAATAATTACCAGGAGGGGGGCATAAAATTAGTTAGAACCCCCCTCTGAAGCACAAGAAAATAGCTCTTACCCCCCCCCCCCCCCCCAAAAAAAAAAATTCACTAATGACGAACCCAGATGCAAGAGGTGGCTTACTCATCTGGATCTAAGTGTAAAGACAAAAACTTTCAGGATCAAGGAGCTGACAAGCAAATGTGGTGCCCTTGCTTCTTTCAAATAACTTTGTTCCTGGCAAAGGTTTTCAAGTTTTAAAAACGACTTTGATATTACTTGTGCTTGTTATGTCTAATAAATCATCAATATGTTTTTCAGCTTCTACATCTTCAATTTATGTGAAAACTTCATCTTCAATTTTATGTGACAAAATTGAAAAAAATCAATAGTTGAAAAAAAATTCATATCTTGGTCAATTTCAACCACACATCAACGAGTCTTTGAATTTAGATTTCCATTAGTCAGGCGCATTGCGTGGACGTTTTATGCACATGTCAGGGACCGCGACATATATTTTGGATCTGGGGGTCTAACGAACGCCAAAGGCGAGTCTGGTCATCCCCCGGAAAATTTTGAAAAAGAAATTCAAAATATGAAAGAAACAACACTTGGAAATGCGATTTCCAGCATTTTGAGAGAAAATTATGAAAATTTTGAATGAAACTTAAGGCCCTCCTCTGTTAATTAGGTAATTTTACTTTGAGCCCCCC